GATTTTGCATTTAGGTCAGGTTTGGGACTTTCTGCAGTTTCAAGCTGGGCTGGGGGTGTGTGGCTCAGTGGTAGATCTCAAAGCCCCAAGTTTGAGCCCGCGCGTGTACGCGCGTGCGCGCGCACACACACACACACACACACACACACACAAGCACACGCCACACGCACGCATTTGCAGTTTTAGGTAATTTTGCATTGGGGATGCTCAGCTTCTTTGGTTGATCTCTAATGTGCTGTGTGTTTGTCTGCGCTTCGCACAGAAGGACTAGGGGGACCTCTTGTTCGCTGAGAACCACTCCCCCACTCCCCCTTTGTGGGCGGTGTAGCAGAGGTGGGCATCAGTGCTGCGTTGGGAAATGTCTTGGAAGAGGAGTGCAGAGGCCTTGGTGAAGAAGCGTTGAGTAAGCTGAGGTATGAGAGCCCTACCGGGTGGGCGTCATAGCATTCACCCAGTCTGAAGGGACAAATGGGGACAGAGTTTCCCAGCTTGATAAGTTGGAACCTGTGGCATTTGGAGGTGGGAATGGGCGATGTCATTCTCAGGAAGGCATGGGGGGAGTTGTGCAGCATGGGGCCTGTGGGTTGCTGGATGCCCCTGCCATGTGTCCCTTTCCTGATGGTGTAAGGCCGGCAGCCCAGGTCCCTGGGAGGGTGACCCACCCTTTTCTGGCAGGTGGGCAGGGAGGCTGACCCATCTCCAGGGAAACCAGTCTCTTCTTCCACCCACCTTCTTAGCACACCTAAATGCTCTGTGTAAAGATTTTTGAAAATTTAAATCACAGTTCCTAAATCTCCACACTTAGGTTTTTTTAACGTAGGAAGCACTGTGTGTCTCTGAAGTGAAAGATTCTTCCAATTACTTGGTTTCTTTACCTTCAGGGTTGGGATGGAACCCAGAGCCTCATGCATGCTAAGTGCTCTACCACTGACTCACACGTGAGTATAGGTCCAAAATTATTCAAAAACAGACTTAACTGGTTCTGCTAAAATCCCTGCCCAGCCATTTTTTCTCCAAACTTTTACTTTTCTAACTTGACCCCTTACACAGGGCAGTGTAGACTCGTGTGTTTGGGTTCTGTGTGTAATGGCAGCTTTGCATGCTTTTATTGTTTTGCGTTCCTGCTTCCTTCAGGATCAGGTTCCTCGTCAGTTCCCTGCAGTTGTAAGTGGTGGTTTTGAGAGTGTGTTAAACTTTCCTTTAGACTTTCTGGTTTGCTTAGAGAATAGTTAGAAAAGCCCTACTTTAAGTTATACTGCAAAGCTATGGTGATTAAAAACAGCATGGTACTGGCAAAAGAACAGACCTGAGGACTAATGGAACAGACTACAGGTTGCAGAGACAGCTCCAGACACGCTCAGCCACCTCATCTTTGACAGAGGAGCCAAGTACCCTCACTGGAGGAACAGACAGCCTGTTTAATAAATGGTGCTGGAAAAATTGGCTTTGTACATGCTGAAGATTAACACTAGACCCTTATCTTTCACCATGAGGTAAACTAAAATAGAAATGGATCAAAGATCTAAATATTAAAAGAGGAACAACACAGGAATAGGCAAAGACTTCATGATCAAAACCCAGACTGGGGCTGGGGATTTAGCTCAGTGGTTCTGGCGCCTGCCTTTCAAATGCAAGGGCTGTTCATCCCTGGTACCCCCCAAAAAACAAAAAACAAACCCAGACTCCCAGGGAAATACTACAAGGAATCAACACCTTGGACCTTATCTTATTAAAAGCTTCGGCACAGCAAGAGAAATGACCAACAGAGTGAGGACACAACCCATAGGATGGAAAACAGTTTTTATCAGCTATTCAGATAAAGGACTATTATCTAGAATATCTAAAAAATTCAAAAAAAATCAGCCCCTCCAAAGTAAAGACCCAGTGCAAAAACGGGCATCTGAAATGAAAAGACACTTCTCAGATGAAGAATCAGAAATGGCAAGCAAATATATTTAAAAATGTCCAACGTTACTGGTCCTTTGTGAAATGGAAATTAAGACAACACCGAGATTCCATCTCACCCCAGAAATCAACCACTGACAAATGCTGATGGGCTGTGGGGAAAAAGGAGCCCTGCTCCACTGCTGATGGGAGCGTACATTGTGCAGCCACTGTGGAAATCAGTGGGGAGATTCCCCCCAAAACTAAAATTAGAGGCTCCATTTGACCAGCTACACCTCTCCTTAGTATCTTCCTAAAAGAATTAAAAGCAGCACACCACAGTGATACATGCGCACCCATGAGTACCGCGGCACAGTTTGTAATAGTTAAATCTGGGAAATAGCCCACGTGCTCGTCATCTGAGGAGTGGATAAAGATGTGTTTCTCTTATACAGTGGAGTTTACTCTGCCATAAAGGAGGGCGGTGCATTTATAGGAAATGGATGCACCTTGCCTTGAGACCACGCTCTTCAGTGAAGTAAATTGGACACACATGTTTAAGTACTGTATTGTTTTTCTGGTGTGAGAAACCAAAATTGGAAAGAAGGACTGACATGTATAATGGGAAATGGGAAGAAAGTGTTCAAACTGGGAAGGGGAACAAGGGAGGAGGGAGGAAGGGACAAAGTAAAAAAGCAAAAGCAGAAAAATGGTAACAGCTTTTGTACCAAGGTGAGGGGACTTGCGGAAGGTAATGGGATGAAACAAAATTTACTTAAAATAAAAAGAACAAAAGCCCTGGCTGAGTGTGGTGGTGCACGCCTGTAGTCCCAGCCCTGGAAGTTGAGGCAGGAGGATCACTGTGAGTTTGTGGTAGTGGCGGTAAGAGTTAACAACCCCAGTTGGAGAAAAATTGCCTGTTGAAGGTGCCAGGCAGCATAATCCTCACTGTAAAGTGAATTTAAATTATCTTTTTGCTTGTTTGTTTATTTTGTACCAGGGACAGGGATCAAACTCGGGACCTTTTGCTTCAAGGCAGTTGGTGGAACCACTGAGCTACATCCCTGGCCTAAATTATTTGTTTGTTTGGTACTGGGGATTGTTCTCGGGGCCCTTGTGTTTGCAAGGCAGGCAGCGGAACCACTGAGCCAAATCCCTGGCCCTAAGGTGAATTTAAATTAGTATTTAAAAAATTTAATTCTAGCTAAGCAGGTTGGGTGCACAACTGTAATCCCAACACTTACGAGGCTGAAGCAGGAGGATCCCAAGTTCAAGTCCAGCCTGGGCTTACATAGTAAGACTGCATCTCAAAACAGCAACAACAGAGTCTTATTTCTCAAAATAATTTCTAATGCGTATTGAGCGCTTGTTCAGCACCACCTGCCATGTACTAGCTAATCTAATTACTGACTTTTCTGCACTTTTAAAGGAGGAAAAGGATTTCCAGGGCTGCTTCCTTCTCTGTAGGGTTTCAGCTCTAGCAGTAGTGACTTTAGGGCTGGATGCCTATGTGTCCTCGGTTATGTAATGTCGTCCATGGTCTTTCTTCACAAGATGCCTGCAGCACTGCTCTGCCCTGGTCTCATTACCAGGGTCATCTCACACTCGGCCCTTTATGCCCTGATGGGGATGGTGTGGGGCGGGGCCAAGCCCCTTATGGCTGGGGACCCCTGGTTCGGGTGGGGAGACCAAAGTCCCAGAGCTTGATGGGGACACAGCAGTACCACCACCCAAACGGCCCATGGTGATGCAGTGCTTCCTGGGCGCCAGGTGCCGTTCATATGCTTGATTTGCTGATTGACTGCTAGATTTAGTCCTAACCCTAATAGCCTTATGAGTTTCAGGAACTTGTGTGTTGTTTGTGTCCCTCTGCTTCAGACACATAACTTGCTCACGGTGATCCCATGTCAGTAGCTGGGCTGGGATTTGAACACCCTGTGTCAGCCTGGCGGACTCTGCTTGAATCCAGGCCCCACTCTGTCCAGGGCAGTGGTGGTGAACCCATGGCACGTGTGCTGCAGCAGGCTGTTTGTTATTGAAAGCTCTAAAAGGTTCGCCGTCACATCTATGGTTTCCCCTTGGTACTGTTACAAATGGCACCAGGATCAGTTTGTGTGCTCTGCGCAGTTGGGCTAGGGTCCAGGTATAACCGGCTGAATCCTCTTCTCAGCATGTCCATTTGGCAGGTGAGGAAACCGAGGCAGGCACCCACCTGAGTGTATGGGTGCTTTGACGTCCCACACAGGCTTGGAGTCCTATACCTGCTTTGCCACCTGCCGCTGTCAGGACCAGGTCAGCTCAGGATGGATTGTTCATCCGAGGAGTGTGGCCTTCTGGGCGTCCTTCCTGCCTTTCGTCTCAGCTGCTTTCACAAAGGCTGGGGGTGGGGGTGGACCGTATAGTCCCGTAATGCGGTGTGGCCAGAACCCTGGGACAGGATCTGACTTAGTTCATTCTTTTTTGCTGTGCTGGGCATCAAACTCTGGGCCATCGCAGTGGGGCAGGTGCTCCACCCGGGAACTGTAGTGGTGTTGGGATCTGAAGGGGAGGCTCTGGTTGAACTTCTGAACCCTTTTTTGGGGGGCGGGTTTATCGGGGATTGAACTCGGGACCTTGCGCTTGCGAGGTAGGTGGCGGCCCCACTTACTTGTTTTTAGATAAGTCCTTGGTGCCCCAGAGTCGGGCCATACGCAGCCTGAGGACCTTCGAGCGGGAGCTGGCGCTCCCCCAGGGGCCAGGTGGTCCCTGCAGGTGTAGGTGCTGTGGGCTCTGCCCTGTGCCTGCCCACAGATGCAACTGTGGCTCCCGAGCCTGGGCTTTCGCATGGGCTGGCCCAGTCGCTCTTTACCCATGAATGGGCCAAACCAATTTCAGTGGCAGCTTAGCTGATTTGTCTTAGAGCCTTGTGTTGGGCAGGATAACTGGGAGGCTGTCTCCTTGTGGCTTTAACGGGTGAAAGCCCTTTGCCGAAATCAGTGGGCAGCCCCGTCCTCCCTGCCCCACTTAAGAAGCCAGAGGGAACCCACTTCCCAGGCTCCCCACGCGCCCCTCACCCTAGCTGGAAGTGTTGCTTACTTTCTATGAATCGGTCTTCTAACAGTGACATACTTTTTCAGCTTCGCCAGCCTCCACGAAGACAGGACAAGCTGGGAGCCTGTCCGGCAGCCCGAAACCCTTCTCTCCACAAGCATCTGCACCAATCATGACGAAAACGGACAAGACGTCCACCACTGGAAGCATCCTGAATCTTAACCTCGGTCAGTTGGCATTTTTGGAGGGATCCTTTTTTCCAGCTGTGAACGTTGTTGCATATTGTAATGTCCGCTTTTATGTGCGAATATTGAACCTTGAACTCTCCTCTATGGCCAGAAGCCTTAGTTAGCAGGTGCCGTGACTGAAGGGGAAGTGAGAGCTCATTAAGAAGGGGCAGTTAGGGATTTCCGTAGGTTTCTGTCATGCAAAGTTGTTTTATCACTAAGTGCCTTAGGCAGTGTTCACAAGCCCGTTTGCCTTTGATTCCCCTCTTTCCCTCCCCTCCATTCCCTCCTTCCTTACCCCCCTCTTCCTTCCTTCTTTCTTTCTCTTTCATTTTGCTGTGTAGCCTAGGCTACCCTTGAACTCACTATGTAGCCAAGGGTGGACTTGAACTTGCAGCAGTCCTGCCTCATCCTCCCCAGTGCTGGGATTAGGCCTGCACCACCACGCCTGATTTAACCCATTGAGTTTCGATTTTCTGTTTTAAAACAACTACTGGGCTAAAGAGTTAAGCAGAAACTGGCACCTGAAAAGATGAAAGCCCAAGTGTGAAGTTGCTACTTTGTTGAGTCATTCCATCCTGACTTTTTAGTGAGACCAGTCAGGTTGTGGAGCTGGAGGGCGAGGACAAGAATCCAGGTGGATCAGCCAGATAGTTCCCATCTGCGGGCTGCCTTGAAGGCCAAATGCGTGGGTAGGATGGGAGAGGGGGCCGGTCTAGGACAAGGTGTTGGTTCACTTAGGTGGGTTCAGGGAGTCCTCTTGGAGGAGCTGACTGTTGAGCTGAGATTCAGAGGATGAGAGAAACCAGCCGTGCCAATGTCAGGAGAAGAACATCCCAGAAAGAATCGATTTGAAAGGTTTTTGTGTAAGCATTGACTTTGTGTGCTAAAGGAATAGCGGGGAGGCTCGGTGGCTGCACCCTAGTGAGCAAGGGGCAGCAGGCAAGCAGATGAAGTTGGAGAGCGAACCCAGCCCTGCAGACTGGGCGGAAGGATATGAGCAGCCCGCCCTCGGGACCGCTGTGGGAGCTGTGTTCAGAACAGTCTATCAGTCATTCTCGTCTGGGCCAGTTCTGTCCTTGCCTCACCCCTGACGGTCTCTGGAGACATTTTGGGGTTGATACAGCTGGGGTGGGGAGCACCAGGGGCATCTGCATGTCCCGCGGTGGCTACAAAAAAGGACCCAGGAGTGCAGGGTGGACTGGGGGAACCCCTAGGCAGAGGGGTCAGGAGGGGCAGGAATGGAGTGCCCCGAGGAGATGCAGTTCCGGGAGTCTGATTTGCATGGGGGTGGAAGGCTCTGTGGGGAAGGCAGTGGTGTGGCCAGCGATGCTGCCCAGCGCCCTGCAGAGCGCAGCCCGGTCCGGGGACTGTGCCCTTTGCATTGAGCTTAGAGCATCCAGAGCAGTGAGGACCTTGGAGTGCTGGAACCCGTAGACCAGGAAGAGCAGGAAAAGTGCTGGTCCAAGCAAGCAGCCGGTGAGGTGCAGCCCCCACAGTGGGGCCCGTGTGGATTCACAGCCTGTTGAGTGCGAGACCCAGCGCCTCCCCATCCTCCCCACCTGCAGTGCCATTGTGGACGGAGACCCCTAGGCCTGGGAGGAGGCTCAGGGTGCCCAGGATGGTGACTCCAGGATGGCCCTGCTGGAGCTCAGCCCTTTCCTGCGGTGGCCGCTTGGGCGTTGTGATGCAGAGTGACTGGTTGGTGCCTCCTTGACCAAAAAAGGACCCATTTGCTGCCTTGGAACATTCATTATTCCCAAAAATGTGGTTTTCTTTCCCACGGCCCCCGCCCACCTCTGCACCCCGAGAAATGCTGTGCGCTGTGCGGAGGAGGCGTTCTCACGGTGACATTTCCTCTCTGCCAGTCATGCTTGGCAAGAATAGCTCCTTCCCTCCACCGGGCAGCCACCAGGCCTCCTCCTGACACCGTGGGTCTTTCAGCCCTGCCTGGTGCCGTGGGAGCACAGGGCTCTCGGTGTCCTGCGTCGTGGTGGGCGGTCAAGGCAGTGGGTGGCGGGGCCTGGAGTCCTGCTGGCCCGTCTGTCTAGAACTTCTCATCTTTGGCCGCGGAACGAAAGCCTTGGGAATGGAGGTGGTTTTGTGGGCTGGGATTTCAGCTCCTAAGTGAAAGAATATCCGGTCCTGTGGGTGGGCGGAGAAGCTGAAAGGTGGGCAGATGGGGAATAATTCTCCTGCGATTGCCTGGGATGAGCCCATGCTTCCGTGGAGCTCGGATATATTTGTCCATGTGACGACTTTGACCAGACAGAAATGGTGGAGTGCTAAGGATGGCGGAGAAATTATTATTTCACAAAACATAGATTTCATTAAAAACCACTGACAGGGCCAGGGATTTAGCTCATTGGTTCTGCCGCCTGCCTCGCAAGCCCAAGGTCCCGAGTTCGATCCCCTGTACCAAACAAAACAAAACAAAAGCAAACCACTGGCAAAGGCAAAATTACAGAGATAGAAAACAGAGTAGTGATTGCCATGGTTGGGGTGGAGGAGAGTTTGACTGCAGCTCTGGAGGGTATTCTTTGGGAAAAGGAATTGTCCTGTGTTTCCTGTGGGGTAATTGGTTGTGTGGATCAGTGTACCCCCTAAAACTTGGCGGAACTGGGGTGAATTTTACTCTGAAACTTAAAACTACCCTCGCACCGACCTTTAAGGTAGACAGCAGTCCCATTTTATGGAAGTGGCCGCTGAGGCAGTGAGAAGGAAAGACCCCACTTGGGTCACTCACGGTTGGTGGTTGATTTTGGCCTCTGGGCTCAGCTGCGGTGTGACCAGGCCAGGCCTCCGAGTTGGGCCTCCTGTGCCTGGTGGATAAGTCAGCCCAGCCTAAGGGTGAACATTCGCTCGGAGTGATGGTAACATGGAGAGCAACGGGCATCCTAGAGGGGGTAGCTCCTGCCAGTTGTCAGGCTGCTTGGAATTTAAAGAAAAGCAGAAATCCAAGTATTTATGCAAACTTCTGGTTTTTTAACGTTAATATCAGTAGCATTAAAAACAGCAAGAAAACTCTACCCAGGCTAAAGAAATACAACCCAAATACAAAAATGAACCCATAGGGTGTTAGTGGTTGGCTGGCTTCTTCAGGACAGGACCTTAATTAACTGGGATGTGAGCATGTGGTACACGTGGGCGAGGAGTGTGGGGACGCGGCTCTCACCCTGCCGCTTGCTCCCCAGGTCCCTCATTTGCTGTCTTGAACCTTTTCTTTCCTCTTTCAACAAAAAGCCTCAGCCCTGCTGGCTTGTTATGGGCCAGGGGGTTCTGTGATTTTATGGTGATCGTAAATCATAAATCTGGATGTGTTCCTGAGACAAGTGACGAGAGGAACGCCTGACTCCAGCCTTTTAAAAAAATATACTTGCAGCGATTGAATGCAGGGTCTTCCTCCTTGATCTTTAAAAATTTCTTTTGAGGAAGGATCTCATTAAGTTGCCAAGTTGCCCAGTCCTCCTGCCTCAGCCTCCCCAAGTACTGGGATTACAGGTGTGCAGCACCCTACCTGGCTACTTGTTTTTATCTTGCAGAGGGTGAATAAGCCCAGAAGTTCAGTGCTCCTGGTAGTGACGTGATACTCTACTGCAGATGCTGACAGAGCTGTCTGTTCCTGAGCATTTCCAGCTATTTCCCCCTGTTGGTGATAGTGGGCAGCAGGCTTTTCTTTGTGAGCATAGAGCGAGCACGTAGATTTCAGGGATTCCTGGAGAGTGAGGTGCGGACCTGGCTCAGATCACCCAGATGTTGTTGTCCAGATTTTCCTCACAGTGAGTGAGGTGGGGAGACCCCTGCTGGGCTGTGCTAGAGGAGTAGCATCATCTGCCAGGGCTCCTGTCCCTGGCAAACGTTTCATAAAGAACGTTTTATGAAAAGCCCACTGGTCTGTAACCTGTTCACCTGCTCCCCTCTTCCCGACGTGACCATGACCTGCTTTTAGTCTCCTTGAGGACTTTGTGGATGTGTAGGACCATCGATTCTTAGCCCGAGGTTGTACCCAGGTGACACGTAGCGGTGTCTGCAGACTTTATTGTCCCAACTGGGATAAGGGTGCTACTGGCATCTGGTGGGTGGAGGCCAGGGGTGCTGCCAAACAACTTACCACAACCAGGACAGTCCCTGTCCCCACCCACAAGCGGCCTCCAGAGTCAACAGCACCAACGCTGAGAGACCCTCAGGAGCCCACGAGTCCCTATTTCTGTTCCTTTCACTTCTTCTCCCCACTCTGGTGCTCACATGCTCGCCACGTGTTGCTCTTTCATTGACCAGGTTGGTTTTTCCTGTCAGTACATAGAAATCGGGCTCAGCTGACCTTTAGCAGCTGCATTTATCCTAATTCCATTGAAAGGCAAACTGGATCACTTATTGAGGCACCTTAATTTACTGACTGTAAATTGTTTTCCTTTTTTTTTTTTGCTGTGCTCACTCCTGCAGCCAAGACCCTTTAGCACACATGGGAACAAGTACACAGGATAAATTCCTAGAAGTGTGTATGGGGGGCGGTCAGAGGCCACAGGTCATGTGCGGTTGACGTTTTGAGAGAGTACCAGATTGCCTCTTCAGAGGTGGTTCTGATTTGTGCTCCCTGCAGAAATGTAAGATCGTGCTTTTTTCTCTAATGTGAGTATTTAAAAATTCCCTGATTTCCGATTATAGCTTGAGCTGTCTTCATATCCACTGAAAAGTTCAAAATGTTGGCACACGGGTGGATTCTACAGATATTCCCCATATAGAAGGGCAGGGGTGGAGGAAGTGTCCCGATCAGCTTCTCTAAGCTGATTTTTCTCCCTGCAGAGGGGAGGAAAGTCAGAACGCAGCTGAAGTTCTGAAACAAGATAATTATATTTGGCTAAAATCCTAAAGGTGTGTTCCTAGGGTGTGAACCCTGCTTATTTGGTGTAGCTTGTTGATTGGAGAAACCTTATTTTGTAAAAGTAGGTGCTTCACCTTTTTTTTTGTTTTTTTGTTTTCACCTTTTTTGTTTTTTTGCGTTCTCCTTGATTGTGAACGTTCCAGGATTATCTCTGTAGGGTACAATCAAGGGGCTGCATTTACAGTAGGTGTACTCGTGATAGATGCAGACTCACACGTGCAAGGCTGGCTAGTTCAGACAAGGGATATATAGGTCTGTGTGTCAGTATTTTATGAGCCCTAAGGAAAGGCTGGTGCTGTTATACAGAGTCACAGAAGTTAAGGCAAGTTGTGCACTTTCCCTCCTCACGTAAAAGGTCGGTCTGATGTGGGAGTTGGAGACCTTCACTCCAGGAGGCATTACTTGGAGAGCTTTTTACACGGCTTACCTCCAGGCCTTTCCCGGGCCCCATGAGGCCGAACCTCTCAGAGCAGCACCCAGGCAGCAGGATTTCCTAATGCTCTACAGGCAGGTTCATTGTGTTGCCAGGGTTAGCAGTCATGGGTTAGTACAGGAAATGGCTGAGTGTATAGCCTTTGAACCAAATCTGGGCCCCGTCTGTGCTTGTAAATAAAGATTCATTAAGATATGGCCACAGTCCATTGTTTGTTCATGGATTGTGTATGGCTTTATAGTGAGGCCTATATGGCTTGAAGTTCCTCAAGTGTTCACGCTCTGAGCCTTTACAGAAAAAGTTTTTTGACCTCTGCTATAGTAGGTTTTTTTTTTTTTTTTTTTTTTTTTTTTTT